TGGGGAGAAAGTCCAAATCTGCGCCCTGATCTACCCCATATGGACAGCTTGGGGCAGGCCGGCTCACCTCCCCGGGGGTCCGAGGAGGACAGAGGATGCATTCGTCAGGTGCTGGCTTTGTGCCAGGCATGGGAGGTTGAAGGTTGTCCCTTCATGATCTCACTGAATCCTCTTCCTAGAAAGTGTTGCAGGAATGTGCTACACTCAGCATTTTGTAGAGGCGGAAACAGCAGCACAGAGAGGTGAAGTAACTTGCACAGGAACACACAGCTTTAAGAGCACCTGAGTTAATGCTCCAGGTCCCTTTCTCTTGGAAGACTGGATACATTCCTTCTAGAAATTTCAGTCCCATTCCAGAGAAGGAAAGACAGGAGGGAGGCAGAACCAGGGTGCAAAGAGGGAACACTCCAGATCAAACACAGTGGTGTTAGTCCCCATTTTCTGCCTGGGCACCTTGCCAACACGAGACCTGGCACCTCAGGCAGGGAGCACCCCCGGCCCAGGCAGCACCCCCGCCCCGGGCAGTGGGACACACCGTAGCCCCAAAGCAGACACTGCAGTGCTCCAGCTCCAGGGATGCCGTCCAGAGCACCTCCTGGTGTCCAATCCACTCATGGGCGGCTTCAACCCTGCCCTGCGGGAAACAAGAGGGCTGACTTCTCCCAGAAGCCTCCCTGCTGTGAACCAGAGCCCTGGCCTTGGCCTTCTCCTCCTCCTCCTCCCTCTCCCTGCGGTCCTTTCCTCCCTGCCCTATCTCAACCTCCTCTCTCCAGAGTGTGGGTTACTGGGCCGGCCATTGATCCCAGCCCAGGCGTAGCATGGGAGCTCGGGGAGGCTTTGATGAGCCCTGAAGAGCTCCACAATGGAGGCCCGGGAGTTTTGGCAGAGCCTGGCGATGAATTTTTAGAATGAGCCCTGCTCAGTCCTGACTGCCAGGACGGCCTGCCTTCTCTTCCTCCATCCAAGCCACAGGACGACCCTGTGAATCACAGACCAGACAAACCCAGGGCCCAGGAGCCTCCCCAGGCAGGGCTGAAGGTAGGAGCTGGCTTGTGTGTATGCAAGTGTGGACACGGGCAGGAGCCAGCCAGGGTGCCCAGGGCTGGGGGAGCAGGAGCAGGAGTCCCCTGCCAAGCCCCTCACCGGCTGGCCTTGGCCTCCTAGCCCTCCCAGGTTTGTCCACCAGTCAGCTCATTCAGTCATTCAACAAGTATTTGTTGGCCATTTATTACCCTAGTGCTGGGATGAGAAGGGTGAATGAGACAAAATTCCTAGTCTCAGAACCGGACCCCTGACCTTCTCCCCCACCTCGGTTCCCCACCCCGGTTCCCAACCCCGGTTCCCAACCCCGGTTCCCCACTCCGGTTCCCCATCTCAATGGATGCAGCGTCCTGTGGCTCAGGCCGAACTTCTCATCCAGTCCAGCAGCAAATCTCTCCTTTTGCCCTAGCTCAGAACATACCCACAATCCAATGACTTCTCACCCCTTTCGCCCTGCCACCCTGGTCCTAGGCACCATCAGGGCTCCCTGACATGGCTCCCCTGGGCCAACAGGGCTCCCCCCTTCTCTCTCTGTCTCTGCAGCAACTTCTTCCCTGGAATCTGAGCCGAGCCTCAAAAACAAGTCAGGTCCTGTCTCCCACATTGTCACACATCCACAGCCCCCCAGAACCTGTGCCCTGGCTTCTCCCCACCCTACTGAAGTGACCTGACCTTGCACACACACACACACACACACACTCCCTCACCTCCAATGTCAGCTTCTCTGTGCATCCCTCAGTGTGCCCCTCGTCCCTCCAGACTTGTCCCATCTAACACTGCAGCTCCTCCCCTTCTCCACAGCCTTTCTTGCCAAATAACATGAGATAATTTATTTACATTTTGCTCATTGCCGATCTCCCCGCCCGGGAATGTGAACTCCATGAGGGCAAGGTTTTGTCTGCTTTGTTTCCTTCCCTGAGAACCCACCTGGCCCACAGTACGGGCTCAGGAAGGAGAGTCGTGGAATGAGGGAATGAATGACTTGTGGGGGCGGCAGTCATTAAAAAAAGGCAGTCCCTGCCTCCACTTCTGCCGTTTCCTGTCTGCTCCACATAGGTAGCCACAGTGGTTCTAAAAAACATACTGTGTCCTTCAAGTGTTAGGGCAGGTGTGACTACATGAGGCAGCCCTTTGGGGAACTCCCATCCTCCCCTCCCACCTTGTCCTGTAATTTCCTGGATCCTGGTGTTCCTCAGGGATGCTGCCTTCTACAAGAATGAGGGTGTACCTAAATAAAATATTTTTTTTTAAAAAAGGGGGTGCCTGGGTTGCTCAGTTGGTTAAGCGATTGCCTTCGGCTCAGGTCATGATCCTGGATTCCCAGGATCAAGTCCCGCATTGGGCTCCCAGCTCAGCAAGGAGTCTGCTTCCCCCTCTGGTCCTCTCCCCTCTCATGCTCTCTCTCATTCTCTCTCTCAAATAAATAAATAAAATCTTAAAAAAAAAAAAAAAAGAATGGGGTGTATCTGTCTCACTCAGGGGACAGGATGGTGCAATGGGTGACGGAATGGACTGCCCGGGTCCAAATCCTGGCTAACATTTGGGAATTTAGGCAACTTACCTAAATTGCCTGGACCTCTGTTTTCCTGTCTATAAGATGGGGATAATAACAATACCTTCCTCAGAGTCCACCCAGGAGAGGACCCAATGAACTAATACACTTGCACTTGGGAGTTGTATGTGGGACATAGTAAGTGTAAAAAGAAAGGTAGCTGTCATTGTTCTTCAGGGTCGTATCTCCAGGGCCTGGCACAAAACCCGGCCCACACTGAGTACTTAGTAAGTACTTGTTGGATGAATGAATGAATGAATGAATGAGGACAGGGATAGAAGGATGAAGAAGTGGCATGAGAACCTAGAGGAGGGCCCAGCCCCAGCCCGAGGAGAGTCAGGAAGGCTTCTTGTAGGAGGGGAGATGATTCCTGACCTATGGCGGGGCGATGGGGGGGTTCGCTGAGCAAGGTGAATGTCGGGAGCAGCAAACAGCAAGTGCAAAGGCCCCTCTCCCCTTGGGAAAGCCTGGTTCGTGCAGGAAAAGTCAGTCCAGGACTCAGTGATGGACACTGTTGGCGAAGAGGCCAGGTTTTCCCTGTGCTGGCCATTTTGAGGACATTCTTGGGTAAATGAACTGTGCTTTTCCCTCAGACCTGCTGCCCATGGACGACAAAACATTCCCACGGAGGGCAAAACATTCTCCCTGGTCAGATCTGTGGCCCTCTGAGATCAGGGCAAGGCAAGCAAGGAAAGGAGGTTGCCGCTTGTTGGGGGACCCCATGGGATAGGCCTGGATTTAACCTGACAACCTTCTCACGGTAAAGATCACCTCACGTGGAGATGAGGGGACAGAGGTCCCACTTCATCCAGCTGAGAGGAAGAGGCAGAGTTTGCTCTTGTCAGCCTGGTCCAGTGTGGCCCCCCTCATCAGACTGGCATTCCTGGTGGCCAGGGGTCCGTGCCTCAGCGATACTTCAGTGGGTGACATCCCCCATTCCTAACCCTCCTGTCAGAGCACAGACCAAGGAACTAAGCAGGGGAAGCCCTCAACAGCCGTGGTCTAATGGATGGCCAAGTTCATCGTCAGGCAGAACTCTCCATATGGACTGGAGGGTGAGCATCAAGACCTTCCCTCTAGGGCTCCTGATGAGGGCAGACCTGGACACCTGACCGGCGGCGGGTGACAGGAGTGGGCCTGAAAAGCCTGCAGCCAGATGACATTGGGGGGCGTTGCTGAAGGAGGAGGGGCTAATCCTGGGAATAACTGGGAGCGTCTTACCCAATACCACCCACCCCATCCCGCTCCCACCTACCCCTCTCCCCATTCGACACTTCACTTTCCTGCTCTGTGGGCTTTCTCGTCCGCTGACTGATAGACTCCGCACACTCGCACCACCAGCTGCGGTGACCGGTGGGGACCTCTAAGAAGAAGGGCCTGGAGTTCAAGGTTCAAGTCCCCGCCCTGCCGCATCTTTGTCATCTTAGGAAGATACTACCCCTCTCTGAGCTTTGCTTCTCTCCTTGTGAAGCATGACACGGCTAAACCTCTGCCTTGGAGCCTTGACGTGTGAATTCAGCGACAGGCTGGGATAGCTTGAGGCATCTGAGAGGTTTGGGTCCTGCCGGGGAGAATTACTGACATTGGAGGAAACTGGTTTGGAAAGGGTTAAGTGGAGACCCCGCCTCCCAGGCAGGAACGAATCAGGGCTGGCAGGGACGGAGCCAGGCTGGAAAAGCGATCCAGTCTGGTCAGATGCTGCCCGGAGAGAGAACGGGAGAAGGCGCCAGTTGGGCAGGGGGCTGCGGGACTGGGCGTGGGGCAGGGTCCTCGGTGTGTGCCCCGTGATAGCTCCAAGTCAGAGAGTGCAGGACCAGCTGCTAGGGGTGGGGGAGGAGGGGACCGAGCTGCCTGCGTAGGGGACAGCCGAGGAGTGGGAGAGGACTAGGACCCAGAGAACTCCCAGCCCCCCAGGCAGGGGGCACCGGCTGCACCCAGGCCTTGACCTCAGCCGACCCTGATAGCCCACATGGGGTGTGGGGTCTAATTTTAGCTCCAGCCGTAGGGCCCACAGCCCAGGAGTGCCAGCCAGTGGGCTACTCAGGAGCCGCTCAGGCAAGGGGAGGATTGGGGAGGTCAGCGCCCCTTCTGTCCAGCCCTGCACCCTGGCCAAGCCACCTCCTGCGAGAGCCCTGACGGGTTCCCCATGGCCTGGCAGACTGCCCGCCTCTCTGCTGAGGCCAAGGTCAGGGGGTGCAGCCAGGAGGGCAGAAGGACGTGGCCTTGCAGTGTGGTCAGGGGATTGCATCAGCCTGAGCAGTGCCCAGGGGCAGGGGGCCCTGCTGCAGGGGCAAAGCCCAGCTTGGTTGTCCAAAGGCCAAGGAAGCAGATTCCTGACTGCAAGAAGACAAGGCCACAAAGTCGGGTCCTACCTGGCTTCCCGGCGCCTGGCTGGTGACTTGCGGTTTGACCTTACACAGGCCGCCGGTTCTCAATGGGCCTCAGTCTTCCCATCTGTGCAATGAAGGCGCTGAACTAGAAGGCAGAGCCCAGCTCCAGCGACTCACCCTCGAGCCCCTGCTCCTCCTGCTTCCCCCAGCCCTGGCCACGGGTGGCCACATGCAGTCGTGGAGAAGAAAGTCCCTCCGGCTGGCACTGTCGGCCTCCTGGCTCCTCGTCCTTCTGAGAGTCTTCCCCCTCCTCCGCCTGACAGTGCCTGCCAGACCCCGGGCGGGTGCCCCCCAAGGCTGGCCCCGCTGGCTGGACTTAGAGCTCCTGCAGAGTTTCTCCCAGCCTGGGGAGCTCCCAGAAGATGACCCTCAACCTCCTCCGGCCCCCCGTGGTGACAGCTGTGACTGGGGAGCTTGCTTTGATGTCTCCAAGTGCAGGGGTGGTGGTCTCAAGGTGTTCGCGTACCCAGTGGCTGGACCGATCTCTGACACTCAGCGCGGGATCCTGGCTTCCATTGAGAGCTCCCGCTTTGGCTCCGTCAGCCCCGACGAGGCCTGCCTCCTCCTCCTCCTCAGCCTGGAAGCCCCAGCTGGGGAGTGCAGCCCCTTGCCCCAGCAGTGGAACAGTGGAAGGAACCATCTGGTCCTCGGTCTCCACCCAAACTTCTGCCCCCAGACCTTCCAACTGGGACAGGCGATGGTGGCCAAGGCCAGCCCCACAGTGGACACCTTCCGGCCTGGTTTTGACGTGGCCCTCCCGCTTCTCCCCGAAGCCCACCCATGGCGAGGTGGGGCCCCTGGCCAGCTGGGACAGCACAGCCCCCACCCTGGGGTGCCCCTGCTAGCCCTGGCAGAGGAGAGGGGCGGGTGGCGCACAGCAGGCACTGAGTTCTCTGCCTGCCCCCGGGATGGGCACTGTGAGCAGGACCACGGACCTGAGCAGTAAGTGGACCTTTACCTCTGCCACCCCGGGGTGGGGGGTGGGTGGAGAGGGTGCTGGGTGGGAGGGATCTGCAGTGGGAGTGAGCCCAGAGGCCAGGGTAGAGGGCAGGATGGAGATGGGACTGACAAACTCTGGCCCTAGCTGTCCCAGGAGAGAGAATCAGGTTAGACCAAGAGAAACCCCACTCAGAAGGTCCTTTGTCACACGGGGTATCCAAAGTAGGTTTGGGGGTTCTCCCTTAGGGGTCTGTAAACACAAAAATATGACTCACTCCTACTTACTCTTTTTCTCTTGTTCCAATTCCTCCTTCCCTAATATTTTAACATACATGTCTGTTGGGCTTAGTCTGTGCTAAAGTATAAATAATGGTTATAATAAAATAATACTAACTGCTTTCATTTGTTTGTGTACCAGACACTAAGCTCAGAGAGGTTAAGGAATTTGTCTGAGGCCACCCAGGCAGACAGGACACAGCCAGTGTTGAAATCCAGAGCTGCCCGTTTCCAAAGCCTTCAGCGTTAGAATTCTGAGTTTTAACCAAGGGTGTACGATCAACCCATCAAATGCCTCAGAGCCGTGGAGATTAAGGACTAGTCACAGATGGAAGCTGCTCCTGTGTCTAATTTGGGGAATTAATCTCTTAAGGAAACAGCAAATATGAATGAGGTCAGACCAGCAGAAGAACTTCCCACCAGCACGACTGCCTGGAGACATGTAAGGGGCATGGTGGCCTGTGGGACATGGAGAGTTGTTCAGAAACTCCTGTCCCTGGGCTAGTTGGAGTGACAGGCCTCAGGTGATAAAGCAGTTAACCCCTAAGTACCCAAACCCCTCTGTGCCCCTGGAAGGCTGGCAGTGTCCGAAGAGTGGTTGTGCAGGCCGGTATTCCAGTCCTTTTGAGGTTGTCCAGGCCCCGAGCAGCAGCAGGTTCCTTCTCCATGCGTGGGGCAGACCTGAGTTGGAACCTGTCACTCTGGTGTCCTTCCCTTGCTCCCTCCCTCAGGTATCTCCCTGTTCTCTGCTAGAACAACATGGGCTGTTCTCAGCTCACCACTCCTGTCCCCCACGGGAATTCTTCACGTGGCCAAGCTCCCTTTTTGCCTCTGCCTCTCAGGGGCTTCTCTCAGCCAGAGGGCTCTCTTGGGAATGCAATTCCTCTACCTCCTCAAGACACACGGCCTCCAGGGAGCCCCACAGCCAGAGGTAGGAATGCAATGGCCTCTTTAGCCCACAGGCCCTGCTGCCCGGACCCATCCCTAGCAGGCATCCTCCTTGGAGTGATCTGAAAGGTCGGGGATCACCTCCCACCCCCACCGCGCCAGGCCCCTGAAGCTCAGAGCTCAGACAGAGCTTACCTTCAGTGAACAAGTTTCTCTTGTTCACCATGGCCCATCCTGACCTTCCTAATTAGACTTTTAGCTGTTCTTGCTTATAGAAGTTCTTTTTTTTCTTTTTTAAGATTTTATTTATTTGTTTGACAGACAGATCACAAGTAGGCAGAGAGGCAGGCGGATAGAGAGGAGGAAGCAGGCTCCCTGCCTAGCAGAGAACCCCATGTGGGGTTCGATCCCAGGATCCTGGGACGACGGTCTGAGCCGAAGGCAGAGGCTTTAACCCACTGAGCCACCCAGGCGCCCCAGAAGTTCTTCTTTCGGCTGACTTTAATTACAGCACTGGTGAATCTGAAAGCTATTTCAGTCTGAACTTCTTTGAGAAACTGGAAATTAGGGAGCTTCACACAGGAGGCGAACTGTGGACTCGCTGAATGTGTTCTGATGGAACCCAAATTGGCCAGAACTGGTCAAGGCTAGCTCATCCGTGGGGGCTGCCCTCTGAGTAGCATGGTGGGTGAGTTTATTTCCAAGGGGTGAAGCCTGGCAGCCTCTGACCGTCCTCTGCAGTTTCCCAAGTTCTGTCTTTGACCTCAGCTCCCACCCCCACTCCCTGCAGGGAACAGGCCTTGTAATCTCTGGAGTAACGTTAAGCCTCAGTTTCCCTGAGGTGTCAGGCAGCTGCCTGAAGCAGCCAGACAGTATAGGGACAGAAGGAGAGAGGGAGGCCACCAGCCACAGGGCAGCCCCCGGAAGGTGGCCTGAATAAAAAAGCACTGGCCCGAGAAAGAGGCAATTCACAGTCCCTGCCACTGTCCCACAGCCACTGTCCCACATTCACTGGACGGGCAGGGCGGCAGAGGGTGAGGGGAGGAAGCGAACACGTGGAGCCCAGTGCTGTGCCAGCCCCTTTACACAAGTCACACACCCTCAAGTACCCTGCAAGGGAGGCATTTTCATTCCCATATCAGGGAACAGGAAACTGAGGTTCAAAGTGGTGGAGGGAGCCAGCCAAGGCCCTTGGGTGATGAACTCCTTGACTCACCATGGCCTCCCTCGAGTTTGTGATGGAGTGGCTGCAGAGCTGGGCTTCAGCCCTGTACTTCTGGCCCCCAAACCCGTATTTTTCCACCTTCGGTGAACAGTCTCCTATTGCTTTGGAATAAGCCTCCACCCTTTTAAATTGTTATTTATTTATTTTTATGAATAGGGAATTCATTCACAGGGTACAAAATTCCAAAGGCACAAAAGGGTATACAGTAAATCTCCCTCCCACCCCTGTCTCTGGCCACCCAGTTTTCCTTCCTGGAGCCAAACACCGTTTCTAGTTTCTCTCACGTCTTTTGTGAGGTACTCTGTGTGCACAAACAACGCATGTGTGTGCTTTCCCCCCGTTAGGGTTTTGTTTTGTTTTTTTTAAAACATAAATTCAATGCATGTTTTAAGGTCTCCTTTGGATCTAGGAGGCACAGTGCCTAGGTCCTGTGGTACTTTCAGGGACCCAGGAAAATTTTTATTTTGATGAAATGATTTTCATTTCTTTGAAAATCAGAAGAAAAAAACCATACATTTAAGTGGAAGAAAATGTTTTGATATATATGTTTTTAAAGAGAGAGAGCACTAGCCAGGGGTGAGGTGGGGCAGAGGGAGAAGGAGAAAGAGACTCCCTGCTGAGCAAGGACCGCCCCCACCACCATCCCGTGCAGGACTCAATCCCAGGACCCTGAGATCCTGACCTGAGCTGAAGGCAGATGCTTAACTGTCTGAGCCACCCAGACAACCCTAATATATAATATTAATGCTTTCATTTATTTTTAAGTAATCTCGACCAAAAGTTGCACACTCCACCAACTGAGCCAGCCAGGCACCCCAGTGTTTTTGTTTTTATACCAATGAAATTATCAAATGTAATTTATATATAATATCTATGGCAGAGAGACCCCAAAGGCCAAAGAGCCTAGGGCACACGGAAGTCACAGTGTGGCCCTGCCTATAGCCAGCCTGCAGAGGGCCCAAGGGAGCCACACTGACTCCATCCTTGGGCACTGAGGCCCTGAGTCTGTGGCAAACACCTTATAGGGTCACAGAACCCTAAGATCTCATTGGCAGTTCCCATGATGTCCCCTCCATAACATGCACACAGACACACCCACGCAGTGACAGGTGCACCTCTACCAATGGGGATCTCACCATCTCCCAAAGCCACCCCCTGGCTACTGTCAGCCAGATCCTTTACTAGAATTTGTGCAGAAACTGACATCTCGGACACCTGGCCCCCGGCTCCTGGGTCTGTCATTTATCACACACTGAGCATCCGTTCACTGAGCAGCCATTACGTGCCCAGTCTCGGCCAGGTGCTCTGCCAGGCTGTGCGGACGTAGGCCCGGACCTCAGGCTGCTCCATCTTGTGGGAAAGGCAGACAAGTTCCTGGTTAGGACCCACATCATTAAGCAGAGGGATGCTGTACAAGCTGCCTTGCTCACTGGCTCCTTGACTTCTGAGCTATGAAGCCCCTCCAGGCCTCCATTCACTCATCTATAAAGCAGGGGACTAGCAGCCTAGTCCTAGACCTAGACCTAGACCTCCCGTCTTTGAGGGAGTGCTGTGAGAATGAAATGAGTTACTGCCCCAAAGCACTTCGTACAGGGCTCAGTAAAGGTCGGCTGGCTCATTACTACTGTGGGCACACAGGCTGTGAGAGCAGAGAGGAGGGAGCCATCTTTGGAAAGATCAGGAGGGCTTCCCAGAGAGGGTGAGGTTTGAGCTTGGACCTTTAGATTGAGTAGGAGGAGGGGCACCTGGGTGGCTCAGTCAGTTAAGTGTCTGCCTTCAGCTCAGGGCATGACCCCAGGTCCCGCATCGGGCTCCCTCCTCAGTGGGGAGTCTGCTTCTCCCTCTCCCTCTGCTGCTCCCCCTGCTTCTGCTCTCTCTCCTACTCTCTCTCTCAAATAAATAAATAAAATCTTAAAACAAACAAAAAAAATTATGAAAAAAAAGATCGAGTAGGAAGAATCCCTTGGGTTGTAAGGCAGAGAGGGGTGCTCGAGGCTGAGGGAGGACGTACGGAGACACAGAGGAGGGAACAACGGAGGTTAGTGAGGACTGAGGAGTACAGTTTATTCAGAAAGCTCTTTGGATTCTCGGAGGCCTTGAACTTAGGGCTTCTCAGTCCCTTAGGGCTTTGTTGGAGAGGGGAGGAGGGCTGTAGCTGGCTGGTGCTGTGGCAGCTTCTGTTAGAGTTAGAGAATGTTCTGTTGTTTAGCGTGTAAGTTCTTTCAGGAGAAGCCTGGTAGACACCTGAGCAGTAGAGACAGAAGGGGGGTAGGCAGAAATAACCCAGGGGCAGGAGTCAGCCTATTTGGTTCTACTTCCAGCCTTAACCCTGTCTGAGACCCTAAGCTAGTCCTTGGGTCTCTCTGAGACTCAGTCTCCCCATCTGTTCAATGGTTCAGACTCAGACCAGACAGGATGTAGCTGAGGAAGGTCCTGGGACCTCTGGGCCCTATTCGTCAGTCCCACGTGAGCAGGCCTGTGAGCATGCCCTCCTCATGCCTCCCAGTAGCTAGGTCATGGGCACGGCTTCCCTGGGTGGGCAGTCGCAGGGAGGTGGCTTTGGGGAGGCTGTAAATCAAGCCCCCCCGCCCAAACACACACAGCCTGAGTGTGGCCCTGGGCTTGGGGGGAGAAGATGGGAGGAACAGAGGAGGCCTGTCCTCTGGGTGAGGGGGCCTCTGGGCAGCAGCTTCCTGTGCGGTTCCAGGCTGGGGGCCCAGCCCACCTCCTGACAGAAGAGCTTTTCATGGGCCTGGGCTCTCTGGATGGGGCAAAGGCAGGGCACGGAGGCCACGCAGGTGAGGGCTGCCTCAGAATCTGCCTGTGGCAGAGCAGTGGGGGGTGGGGGGGGCAAGCCTGTGCCTCTCCCAGTCAGACTAGGCCTTGGAAACAGCTGGTCCCGCCCCCTCCCATTTTGCAAATGAGGAAACTGAGGTCCAGAGAAGAGAAGGGGGAGATGCCTGAGCCCCCCAAGGGCAGAGGCAGAACTAGAACCCAGGGCTCCTCTGCCTCCCAGCCCACCGTGGGTGAGGGGCAGGTGTGAAGCTTGTGTTCATGTCAGTGTTCGTGAGTGTTTGTTAACATGTGAAGCACAGATGGTGGGTTTGCACACTGAGAACTGGGGATTGTTGGGGGGGGTTGGGGGAGCATTGAGGGAGCCAGGTGGGGTGAGGGGCGGATGTCTCAGGCCTCACCTGTGCGGTACCCCTCCTGTATCTCCTTAGGACCCACCCTGGGGCAACGCTCCCCAATGCTACCTTCTGCCTCATCCCTGCCCGCCATCCTGATGCCTTGCACTTCCTCCAAGCCCTGCAGGTACAACCCCAACCTGGGCGTCCCCTGGCCCTGTCCCCCAACACTTGTGAGCTGGCAGGCTCTTTCTGCCAGGCCCAGGGGAAGGGACCGTGAGCTGCCCGCACCCACACTCACCACACCCTGTGTAGAACAACCCGCTGCCCAAAAAACCGCCTTTCTCTCCTCTGGGCCCCTTGCCCCCAATGGAAGCAGCAGCTAATTTGGAACTGGGGGACGGGGAGTGTGTGTAGGATGTGACTGGGCTCCCCAGTGCCTCCCTTTCCCCCAGGCTGGCTGTATCCCTGTGCTTCTCAGCCCTCGGTGGGAGCTGCCCTTCTCCGAAGTCATCGATTGGACCAAGGCGGCCATTGTGGCTGATGAGAGGCTCCCATTTCAGGTAGCTCAGGGCCCTGCCCACAGGGTGGGGACTGGACCTAGGATGTGGGAGAAGCCTCCAGGCTGATCGCAGTCCTCATTCCTATCTCCCCATATGTGTATATTCATGATTTTGCTCCAAGCCCCAAGCTTCTGGGGCTCCCACAGGATCAGAGAGAGGCAGAGACTCCTGATGGCTTGAGAGCAAGTCCTGAGCCTTTTCCAGCCTCAGTTTCCCCAATCTGTACAATGGGATAAGTTAGACCAGATGATCTCCAGGGGCCCAGCCGATGACTCGACCAGTTTAAGGGAAAGCCATAAAAATCCAAAATCTGAGCACCTCCAGGGAGGCTGGGGTGGGAAAGCAAAATGCACGGTGACTTTTCCAGCTGATGAAACTACTTTCGCCCGACGATGAGAAAACTGTGTACGCCTTGAATCCCCTGAGAAGCGAGAACAGTACGGTAGTTACTAATAGCAGTCGCCTGCACTGAGCTGCTACCATATGCCGAGCACTTAACGCATATTGTCTTATTTATTTATTTATTTATTTTTAAGACGTTAAAAAAAATTTATTTGAGAATGAGAGAGCACACAAGCAGGGGGAGGGGGAGAGGGAAAGGGAGAGGGAGAGGAAGAAGCAGATTCCTCGATGAGCAGAGAGCCTGAGGCAGGGCTCGATCCCAGGACCCCAGGATCATGACCTGCACCGAAGGCAGATGTTTGCTTAACCGACTGAGCCACCCAGGAGCCCCTGTATAATCTAGCTTAATCCCCACAGCCGCCCTATGAGGAAGGTACTGTTATTATCCCCACTTTACAGATGAGGACACAGACTCAGAGAGGTTGAGTAGTTTGTCCACAGTCACACAGTTATTAAGTGGCATTTAGGTTCAACTCTGTGTGACCTTGATTATTACCTGGGACTTGGCCAAAGGTGGCTGCTTGGAAACTGTGGGGAGAAGGCTTCTGGTTCCCAGACCTCCAACCTGGGTGGTCCCATCTCAGAGTCAGTCAGAACCTGACAAGACCCCATGCCTTCTCCTTTCCTCCCTCTGTACCTCAGGTCCTCGCTGCCCTCCGGGAGATGCCCGCCACCCGGGTCCTTGCCCTGCGTCAGCAGACCCAGTTTCTGTGGGATGCCTACTTCTCCTCAGTGGAGAAGGTCATCCATACCACTCTGGAGGTGAGGGGGACTTCCATGATGGGAGCCATGGTGCTTGGCTCCTGCCTCATCCCCGTTCCCTCTCCATACCCCTCTCTCCAGACACATCTTCTACCCTGCTGTTTGGACTTCTCCCCTGAAGGGGCTTATGGGATGAATCTGAGGCTTGACTCTGAGTTCTTGGACAAGTTGCTTCTCCAGTCTTGGCCTCAGTTTACCCCCATCTGTAGAGGGATAGCTCTGGCCAATAGATTTCGAAGCCTGTGCCAAGGTGTCAGCCCGGGTGATGGTCTGTGGCTGCCTTCAGTGTTGTGCTAAAGGGAAGTCTGGGTCCGGAAAGAATGTCACAACTCATTAGCCACATCTGCCATGAGTGAGGAAGGAAAAGGAGGCAGCAAGTTCACCATCACTGGCCACTTCTGGACACCATCACTGAGTGCCCCCTCCTCTGGACTTCTGCACCTGAACCCTTCGGACAGTGATGCAGCTGTTGCCCTCCCAGGAGCCTGAAGGGGGGCGGGGGGGGGGGGGGGGGAGGGGCATGGCTACGCCAGGTCTGAACTTCCCCAGACCCTGCCCATGACTACACCCACACAGCCCTCTCTCATTTCACAGATTATTCAGGACCGGATCTTTGGAGCACCTGCTCACTCCTCGCTCCTGTGGAACAGCCCTCCAGGCGCCCTCTTGGCCCTGCCCACTTTTTCTACAAGCCCCTCAGACTTCCCCTTCTACCACCTACAGCGGGGTATGCCTGGGGATGGGACAACTTGAAGTCCCCTCACCAACTCTTCCCAAGTCTGTCTCAGCCTCAACCATAGAGCCCTGCCATGCCCTTCCCCGATTCACCCACATCTCTCCTGGCTCCTGGAGTCCCCAGCTCAGGCCACTCTTTAGGGGGTCCTGTCCCCTCCCATCCTAACAGCCTGTGTCTCATTTCCCTAGGCTCTCGGCCTGCTGGCAGGTTCAGTGCTCTGATTTGGGTGGGGGCCCCAGGGCAGCCCCCACTGAAGCTCATCCAGGTGGTGGCAGGTTCCCAGCATTGTGCCCAGGTCTGTCCCCTTTGCCAGTGGGGGTCCTGGGATCCAGGGTGGGGGCGAGGGAAAGGGCAGGGCCCTTGAAGACATCTAGACCCCAAGCGTAACCACATGTTTTGGGGGGAGGCACAGGAGGGGTTTTCAAGGGGTTTTCACTGCCCTCTTTTTTAAGTCCCAACATTCTTGTTCCTTTCCTTCTCCCCCTCACCCCCCGCAAAGAAAACTGATGAAATCATGTAAAAAGCAGGTACCCCTTGGGGCCACTGGAGAGGTAAACAGGTGATCACGCATGTACTCACCCATCAGTCATTTTCTCAGTGCCAGGCCCTGGGGGTGATGCTGAGGACTTAGAGAAAAAGCAGGAAAGGATTCTGCCCCGGATTCAGATTCAGTTAGCACTTTCCGGCACACGCTGTCAGGTGTCACTTCCAGAGAAGCCACATAGCCTCCTGAGGGGACTTACAGGGGAAGCAAGCCCTTAGCTAGGCCAGGGACAGACAGAGCAGCTCCACAGAGGGGACATTTGAGCTGGGCAGCGAATGATAAAGGACCAGAAGCGATCAAAAGCCTTTGAGAGAAGATGGGGATGGGACGAGGGGCCAGGACCCAGGCTAGGGGCTACCACAACTGACTGTCCCCAGTTCCAATGCTGTAGGTAGCTACCTTCGGGTCACACCAGAATTCCTGCCTTCCTGATGCCCAGAGGTAAAAACAGGGCAGCAAAGAAAGGACTTGGCTCCAAGTAAACTCTCCCAAACTCAGAAATACAGCTGTTCTCCCAGCCTTCAGGAACACCCCCTTTTCCTCCTAGATCCTGGTTCTCTGGAGCAGTGAGAAGCCACCCCCTTCCAGGTGGCCCAAGACAGCAGTGCCCTTGACAGTGCTGGCCGGGCAGAGGAAGGTGAGGAGTTGAGGGGTGGGGTGGGAGGGAGGACTCCAGCCCCTGCATGCTGGGAACCGGGGAGGGCACACATGGGTGCTTTGCTTGAGCCCAAGCCAGATCTGGACTTCCAGTCGGGCCCGAAGCTGGTCAGGAAGTCGCGCCTCACTTGTCCCTTATGGATCTCCCCAGGCGGACTGCTTGTGCCGTGTGGGTGCAGCAGAATTCCGTGGAGTGGACAGTGGGCTGTCTGACGTGGGTCTCAGCTGCGGGCCCGATAGAGGTGATCCTCTCCCATGCCTGGCCCTTGTGGGTTGTGCCTCCAGAGAGCTGGGGTTTTATGTGATGAGGGAAGGCAGAGGGAATATGTTGGCTGCCATGGATGAGCCAGAGGAGAAACGTGGGGTCTTGAGGAAATGAGGACAGATGGCAGCAAACGGAGCCAGAGGAGGGTGGCTTCTGAGAACCTGGGATGCTGGGAGCCCCCTGCGTGCTGTGTGGCTCTGGGCAAGTCCCTTCATCTCTCTGGACCTGTTTCTTTCAAAGGGAGGATGTCTGACAGCCCCTCCCAGGGTTGAGGCGAGCATGTGATGTGACAAGAGGAATTCCGAGGGGTCGAAACTGGAGGGGCCCCTGGATACCTTCTGCCCCATGTGCTCCGGGTCCCAGGTCCGGGCGGCCTGGTTGTTATCGCATTCTGCCTTCTACACCCGCGCGCCCAGGCTCCCACTTCGTGGCTGCGTAGACAGTCATGGTGGGAGCCCAGGGAGGGTTGCCACGGCTGAGTCGGCCTCACCTCCCTCCCACTACAGGCCAGTGACCGCTTCTTCCCGCACCGAGCCCTCAGCACGGATGCCATCCTCAGCCTCGATGCACAGAGCAGTCTTACCACAAGCGAGGTCAGGACACAGCCCGAGAGGACCCCAGGGTGGAGGGGGGACAGAGACACCTCAGATTCCCAGATCAGGGAGGAGCCGAGTACCAGCGCCTGGAGGTGCAGCCTCCTGCTTTTGAAACCACCCCCGAAAGCCTGTCGCCCTCCTCCTTAGTCCTCCAGCAGAAGCTTTCAGCAAACTTTTAAAAACAGTTTTCAGCTCCCAGGGGGAAATGTACTGTTTCCAGCTCCCTGTTGGGAAACCCCACCCCACCCCACCCCACCCCAGCCCAGCCCAGCAGTCCTGGAAACTTTCATGCATGCACGTCCTCTTCCAAGTCCCCCAGGCCGGGCTGGCCTGGCCTCCATGTTTCTTGATGCTCCCTGATGGTTGGGAAGTCCCTCCTCATACCTCACTTCAGTATCTCCCCAGGTGGACTTCGCTTTTGTGGTGTGGCAGAGCTTCCCGGAGCGGATGGTGGGCTTCCTGACATGGAGCCACTTCTGGGATGAGGCCCGGGGTGACTGGGGCCACACTGCCGAGAAGGCCAACGAATTCTCCATGGTTCTCACATCGGCTGCCTTCTACCACAGGTACGGATGGCCGGCCTGGCACTGGGAGCCAAGGGCCAGAGCACCGCCCCCCACCCCGCCTTGATCCTGGGCAGGGCAGTGTGGGAGTGAGCACATCAAGCTAGGGCCTAGAGACCCAGGTTCTGGGCTCAGATCTGCCACATCCGAGTCGTATGATGGGCAAATCTCCTCAGCTCTTGTGAGGCCTCAACTTTCCTTGTCACCTCAAAGGGCTGATGTGATAATCTGATGAGAAAACCATATGAAGGCCTTGGCACACAGGTGGCCAACAAATGGTAGCTAGTGTCATTTTAAACAGAGCTAGGCAGGGGTACGGATTTGAATTTGGTGATGGTGATGGCAAGGGAAATGGCCCTGAAGACTTTTTTTTTTTTTTTAAAAGATTTTATTTGACAGACAGAGATCTCAAGTAGGCAGAGAGAGAGGAAGGGAAGCAGGCTCCCTGCTGAGCAGAGAGCCCAATGCAGGACTCGATCCCAGGACCATGGGATCATGACCTGAGCCCAAGGCAGAGGTTTTAACCCACTAAGCCACTCAGTCTCCCTACCCTGAAGCTTTATAAATGTGTGTGTGCGGTGGGCTGGGGACTGCCCCAGGCCTTCCAGAAGTTGACTGAAGCACCCATCTTTGGGGTAGGGACTGAATTCTGGAAGGCCCCTTTAGAAGGGTTCCTTAGATGTGTTTAAACCAAATATGTGTGACCTGGAACCTCTAGTAGGTTTAGCCAGGAGCTCTGCAAGGACGTCTCAGCAGAGTGAAGACTACCCCTAAGGTCTGCAGGGTGGGCCTAGGTTGTTCTAGAAGGAGGCTGAGTGGAGCAAGGCTCACCCTGAGCAGCATCGGTCTGGTTAATCCACAGCCTTCTGAAGCTGGTCTTTGGGGCTGCCATTTTTTATGGCCTTGGAACCAGATGACCACCCCCCCCCCATTCTGGCTGAATTCAGACCTCAGAGGCCAGGGTGCTGGCCCCATGGAACTATAACAGAGGGGGCAGGGAGGACACCATGCGCTGCAGACAAACCCACAGAGTGCAGGACAGCAGAGAGAGATGTGTATTTCTGGTGTGAGCTCTCTGAGGCAGTCAGGGCTGGGTGGGGGCGGGATTTTCTAAGGAGGCATGGGGATTGAAGTCAAAGGAGAGTGAGGTCAGGAGGAGAATGGGGCCTGGCAGGGAGTAGTAGTGGGTAAATTTGACTGCAGCCCCTCCCTCTCCCCTTGCCCAGATACTACCACACCCTCTTCACCCACTCCCTGCCCAAGGCTCTGAGAACCCTGGCAGATGAAGCACCCAGCTGTGTGGACGTTCTGATGAACTCCCTGGTAGCAGCAGTCACCAAGCTGCCCCCTATCAAGGTGCCCTATGGGAAGCAGCGTCTGGAGGCCAGCCCTCCCCTGGTGAGGATCCAGGGGGACAGGTCGGCACTGGGAGGGCGCTGGCGGTGGAAGGGATTCCCTCTCACTAACCCCAATCTTTCTTTGCTGAAGGTTTCGGGGGCATGGGGGGTGGGTTTAGAGAACAGAGAACACCTCCAAAGCGTTTTTCCTCCCCCTTAGGCACCTGGGGGCCCAGACCCGCAGCCGCCGGCCCAGGACTGCATCAATCAGATGGTGGCCGAATTTGGCTACATGCCTCTGGTCTCCTCTCGCCTCCGTCTGGACCCAGTACTGTTCAAGGACCCAGTCTCCGTGCTGCGCAAGAAGTACCGCAGCCTGGAGAAGCCCTAGCTTGGACCAGCAGAGCCCCCAGTCCTGCTCCTGGGGGGCGCTGCTTCTGCAGAGCGGTTAGGAGGGGCTCAGCCCCCTCCCTTCGGACATCCGGAGAGCCAATCAAGGCTCCCAGTTAGCCAACACGTCAGGTCCCTATTAGCCAATCAGCCCAATGCCCGGAGCTGTGGGGCATCGCCCCACCCTCCAGTCCCGCCGCTCCTGGCAGGTCACGGGTGCAGGGCCCTTGCTCTGGGACTGTGCCCTCAGCCGTCGTGACCTTATGCCTGGAATGCCTTTCCCAGCTTCTCTGCGGGAGCTGACTTTCACTTGTCTTTCAGATCTCCGCCTCCTCCACGGACTTGCCTGACCCCCATCCCCGACCCAGATCCTCTCCTCTTTTACAGCCGAGTGTTCCCCACTGTTCATGCTGCTTTGCAAAGTACACAGTCAGGCCCAGCCTGGGACCAGCCTGGAAGCCCCGGGAGGGCAGGGCCATGTCCTCTTCTCTCTGGCCTGGCAGGTGTTTCACAAGTATTTGACGAACAGATAAAAAACCTCAACTGCGTGCCTGGCCCTGTGCCGTAGTCGAGAGTGCGGACAGTGTGCCAAGTGAGACAAAATTCCGTCCTCCTCCACCTTCGGGGTTCTCAGTCCGGCAGTAAGGCAGCCACCCGCAGATGCCTGGGTTGCCAGGCGCGATCTTCGCACAAAGAGGCGCCGAGAAGCCAGTTTCGGGGCTTCCTTCCCGAATCTGGCAGAGCAGGGGCCGGAGGGGAAGAAAGATGGGAACGCCAGGGGTCCTGCCAGCCCAGCCCAGGGCTCTGCATTACCGAACATGACCACTAGAGGTCAGCGCCGCCCCGCGCTCTCTCTTCCGGGAATGGGAACGGAGTTTTTAGCGCCCCTCCGGTCAAGGGGTGACCCGGCAAGGGGCTGTGGAGTGTTGATGGGGTGCAGCCCGAGGTCCGAAAACTGGGGGAAGGAATTCGAAAGAACAGTCCCACTCCTTTGGCCCGCATACTCTGGACTAAAAAGCCATTTCTAGGTAGGCTGGGTGGGAGATGGGGTGGTCCAGAGCACCCTGGGCGGGGGGGGGGGGGGGGCGGGCTGTGGAGTGGGGTAAGGGCTGCTGGGTTCTCCAGGGTTCATCCACCTGGAACTGGAATTATCACTTCCGAAATAAAGCGCATGTCCTTGCCCCCTCGTGCTCGGGCTATAAATAACCCCTAAGGCAGCTGTGTCGGGGAGGGGGAACTCAGGGCTCACAGGAGTGGGGTGACCCTAAAGAGGTAGGGGTGCTGGGTCCAGCCCAGGTCCAGGGTGTCAGGCGTTTTCCTGCTTTGACGGCCTCACTGCTTTGGAAACTCTCCTCACTAGCTCACCCTGGCCAGCCAGAACATGCCGTCTACCAGGGCTTCTCCAAGGCCTCCCACCCCCTTCCTCCAGCTTGACCTCTCGCCCCTGGATGACTTGGATCCTCCCTGCAACCAGTCACAGCTGGGGTGCAGAGAGGACTCTCCCTTGGAAAGCATGGGGTTGCTAGATTATTGAGGTGGATGGGGGCCTGGGAGTTAAAGAGGAGGGAAGGCATTCTGGCCCAGGGTCAAGAGCAGTTGAAGGTGGGTGAGGAAGCACACAGCTGTGGCCCAGGCAGCCTTCCCAGGGCGGGGAGGGCTCTGAGCGCCAGGCCCAGCAAAGAGAAAGAGGCACGCTTCCCCTTCCCACTCACAGCTTCAGCACCCAGACACTGAACTGCCTGGGCATGGCCTTACCCATGGAGGGCACTGCCAGGCCCGAGGGCTCACACTGTACCAACATGCAGCCCAGAAGGTTTTCAGCTCCTGCTGTAGAGGGAGGCCCAGTGACTGAGGCAGAAACCCCAGACCTGCTTCACAGTGGCTATGTGACTTCAGAGACTCAACCCCTCTGAGCTTTGGTCTTCTCATCTGGAAAAGTAGACCCTCTTGAGAGGTACACAGCCTCTCAGGATCCAGGTTCCTGGGGCCTGGAGGGAAGAAGGGGTTTGATACCCCAGAGAATGGAGCAGAGCAGAACACAGCCATCAGCAACCCCCTGCCTCACACTTCCAGGCCCAATGACTTCCCACAGATTTTGAGGGGCTGAAGAAGCCACTGACCTTTACCACAGGTAAGCCCGGATGACAATGCCTGAAAGACATCAAGAGGTTATTTCGTAGATGGGAAAAGAGAAGCACAGAGGAAGGCCAAGTGACCAAGCCTTCCACATCCTGCCACGAATCGGGGCAGAGGAAAGACAAAGTCAGTGCTGCCCCTGGGGAGGCTAGAAGCCCATCTGGCTCTTTGGCAAGGTGGCCTCAGGCTGCTACCTTTCCAGCATGATGGTCAAAGTACGCACTCTTCAGGCAACACCAGGTGCTTAACAGACTTTGGTTCCAGTCCTCACAACAACCCTGTGAGGTAGGTTCACTCTTAGTCTCTCATTCTCTGAGACCGAAGCGCCACCTAATGAGTCGGGTGGCTGCTTTCTCTGTGAGACTAGGGACAAGTCTCCCCTCTGCATCTTGTCAACGCAAGCAGCCCCTAATTCAGGAATCTACATACACCTCAGGAAGCCAATGCCTCCCACCCATTGTACCACCAACCCCTCTGTCTTCCATCCTCAAATTCTGAGCAGGTCAGGCCACACCAGCCACAGCGCTGGCCCACGGAAGTCAGGCTCTGAGATCCCTGAGACTCTATCAGGACAAGAGAAGTGGGCCAGGGACTGTGGGGCTGCCACCCACCCCCAACCAACCAGGGCAAGGGTTCCTGGGCTGGGGGAATAAGGAAAGAAGAAACCGGCCAGGTCCTGACATGGTCAGAAGCCTCCTCCCTCCAGGAAAGGGAAATGTGGCTCAGAGCTGAAATGACTAAGGCACAGGCAGGCCTCAGGTGCCCGCTGGTTTCCCATCTCAGGGGGACAGGTCGGAGAGTGCAGGGTCTCACAACTCCCAACCCCCAAGGCCTAATCACACCACAGTGTTAGAGGCAGAGGGAGAAGGGCTTCTTCACAGATTCATAAGGCAAAGGCCAGACTGACATGAGGAATAAGGCAGGCGGGCAAGGGGACATTGGAGCCAGTCTCCCCTCTATCCCCCCTCACTGTGCTTCCCTGCCTTTCCAGAAGCTGGGGTAAGAAGGCATTAGGTAAGGATGGGGCCCAAACCCAGCCCTGCCAGGCACCAACCCAGAAGCTGGAGGAGGGGGTCATACTCACTTGCCACGTCTCCATCCTTAAACTGGCTATCTAGTCAGATGGGGGAGGCAGGGGATAGTTCCTTCACACTCAACACAGAGCAGAGGTCAGGAGAGGGACCCGCTTTATAACACAGCCAGGGGAGCCCGAGTCCCAGCTGGGCCTGGGGAACACTCAGCCCCACCGCCTGCAAGTCCTGTCCATGCCTCCGCTGGCACCTGGCCAGGCAGTCAGTCCGAGGGGCCTTGGCACGCCTGACAGTCCTTCATGTCCTCCGAGTAGTCTTCGATCTGGATGGTCACGGTGTGGAAGTGGAACTTGCCCTGCAAGCAGGTGCTGGCTGCCTTCAGCACAGCCTGGCCATCTGCATTCTGAGCTAGGGGCAGAGAGGACACACCAGGGGAGGCACTGGACAACGATTTACTCACTCGGGCCCTGAGGAACGATCAGGAGCCTAGCTCATTCCCTACCCACAGCAGGACATGGTACAGGCATCAGGGAGCACCCCCCGCCGAGTCCCATTCCTGCACTGGGCCACCCTCCAGTTCCCACACCTGGCACAATCCCTCCAGAGCAGGGGCCACCCTGGCTTTAAGGCTGGGAATCTTGGCCCTGCCACCTAGGCACGGTCAGAGCCTGGGCAAGTGACCTGACCACCCCACCCAAGCCCCAGTCTCAGTTTCTTCACCTAGAAGCGGGATTGTGATGACCAAATGAACAAGGTCTATAAAGTACTCTGCATGGGGCCAAGTTCAAAACCAGCCACGCTACTGCAGACTTGTGAGGCCCTCGGGTGCTTCGGGGATGGCCCCAAGCCTCCGGCAGTCTCTGTCCCTCACCCCGCCCTGAGGATCCTGGCCACTCACCGATGGCGATGTGGACAGACAGCACAGGCTGGGCCACGGTCAGGGCCCAAATGTGCAGGCTGTGCAAGGCTTCCACCCCTTCCACCGACAGCAGCAGGTCCCGGACAGCCGTGAAGTCCACACCCTTGGGGGTCCCTGAGTGGGGCGGGGATAAGGGCTGAAGGAGCCTGCTCCCTCCTGCCCCTTCTGGTTTCTGCTGTTCAAATGTCGTCTCCTCAGAGAAGAGCACCCCGGCCAGCAGATCTGATGTTGCCCCCACACCCCAGATGATCTCCATCATACTACCCTTCTGTATTTTCCTCCTCATGCCTGACCCTGTCTGAAATGACCTTGTCAGTCCCTTCCCCGTGTTCCCCTCTAAAACGGAAACTCCACGAGCATGGGACAGTCTGCTTTGTTCACTGCTGTATCCTCAGTACCTGGCCCAGAGCAAGTGCCCAATGACTGTTTTCCAGAACAGAAAGGAGAAGGAAAGACGGGAATCAGGGGACCCCCGCGCCCACACGGGCCATCAGCAGCATCATCACTTTTATCTAGGGCTGTCACACCCTGGGGGAAAATGCTCTGAATCGCAGCCAGACACTCCGGCTGACTCCACATCAGCACCCAACTTCGGACTGGACCCTGGCCACACAAAGCCCCAGGGTCCCGTGACCCTGGGGCACAAGAAAGCCGGTGACTGTGGCAACTCAGGGTGGACCATTTGCCAGTGCAGAAGAAGCCCTCCCGCCCCCAGCCAAGCCACGTGCTCCTGAGCAGAGGCCTCAGAAAGGAAGGCAACGAGCTAGAGGGGATTGGGGAGTCTTGTCCAACACCCACCATCCTTTTTTTCTGAGCCTCAGTCTACCACCTGTGTAATGGGAGGCAGAATCCTCGTCCCTCTCTGCCCAAAGGGAGGCAGCTAGAGACTGCGGAGGTGTATGGGGGAGGGGCGGAGCAGCTGTTGGTATAGACACCACCTATAAGTTAACCTGACTAGGCAGGGAGGACACACCCCAGCAGGGAGGGGACACCTTGGGGCTAGAGGGGAAGGGAAGGTTCGGTCAGGGTCATATTTCCAGGAACAGTCACACCTGAGGGCTCCAGCTGATGCCAAGACTGGCCTGGGGCCCCAGGAGGTTTTCCAGCCTGTGCCAGGCTCCAGACCATGGCTCCCTGCCAATGTGCTAGGACTCCCCTGCTCCCCCCACCCTGATCCCCACCAAACTTGTTAGTGCTGGAGAGCCCAGAGCAAAAGGAGAGCCCCAAGCCCAGGTTACCTTCCATCAGCACCAGGATCACATCTCTCAGAATGGTCAAGGTTGTCCCCAAGACCAGGATGGAGAAGAGGAAGGTGCAGATGGGGTCTACATACTTGTACTCTGGCTACAGAAAAAGGGGAAGGCAGAGCAGCGGCTCACCACCCAACACCCTCAGACTCTCTCTCCCTTCCCACCCAGTGCTGCGGCGGGGAGAGGAGCTCTCTGCGGGGTGAGTACAGGCCTCACCCTGGCTCTGCCTCCCAGTTCTCTGCCTTTGTGCCCACAAGAACAGGCAGGAGAGATCACAGCTCAGGATAAGACAGTCCCTTCCCACCCCTCCTTGCCCAAGGGACTGAAGCGTAAACAAAACTAAAAGGAATCCTAGATACCAATGGTCCACGATCTCATTTTATAGATGGAGAAACAGGATCAGTGAGCGTGAGGGACTATCCATCACATGGCTCGCAGGGGCTGGAGCCAGGCTTCAACCCCAA